AAAAAAAAAAAAAAGAGTTGAAAAGCAAGGATGTTACTTTGAGAACTGAGGTATACCTGATCCAAGCCACGGTATTTTCCATTGTCTCATATACATGTGAAAGTTGGACACTGGACAAAGAGGGCTACAGAAGAATGATGCATTTGAATTGTGGTGCTGGAGAAGAGTATTGAAAGTAGCACGGGCTGCCAAAAGAACCAACAAATCTTCATGGAAGAAGTACAGCCAGAACACGCTTTAGAGCAGTGTCGGGGAGACTTCGTCTCACATACTTTGCACATGTTATCAGGAGGGACCAGTCCCTGAAGAACGATGCATCCTTGGTAGAGTAGTGGGCAATGAAAAAGAGAAAGGCCTTCCAGGAGGTGGATTGACACCGTGGTTGTTGTAACAATGGGCTCAAGCATGAGACCAATTATGAGGATGTTACAGGACCAGGCAACGATTCCTTCTGCTGAACATAGGGCTGCTGCATTGGACCAGCTCAGCAGCACCCAACCACTTCTGCAGTGATGACTGTTAGAGCGTTTCTTGTCAGTGATTTAAACAATTTTAAAGGAACAGTTCACATTTTAAATGTGGGGCGGGGTCAGAGCCACAAGACTGAGGTTCGAACTTGAAATTTCTATAAACTGAGCATTGAGAGTAGTGAGAACATTCAGAGTAGTGAGAACAAATGATCTGTTAGATACTGTAGTAGTCAGGGTACATGTGAAAGGGTCATTCGACCCTGAGGTAGTTAATTTCATAATGTATTAGTCTGTGTACTTTAAAGGAACAAATCCATACAATCTCATGTATAAGAGAGTTATATATAAAATTAAGTGTGCATCAAGAAAACATCCCAACCCAATGTTGCCCAAGCCCACAAGTTCAACATTAACCCATTAATCCATATGTCCAACACCAATCCACAAACCCCTTCTCCATCTCACAAAGCAGACACAATGACGCAGACTGCAGGAGGAAAGCTCAGCCATTGAGTGTGTAAGCATCTCAGCGCTGGCAGGGGTCTCCACGCGGCTGCTCCAGCACCCAGGGCTGCATCGGGGTAGGTCCATGTGGCTTCTCCTCAGGGATGTCTTGCAGGAAGTGAGCCTTGCCAGCTAAAGCAGGGAACTGGCTAAGGCAGCTACACTCGGTCCCACCATCAGAGAGCAAGAGACCCAAGAACTAGAAAGGCAAAGCCCACCTATCCATTTATCTCTCTACCCTTCAATTAACCCCACATGTGTTTATTGGCCAGGTTGACATAATAAACTAACTACCTCAGATACATTAAGATTCCCTAAATCCAAAGAGTTCCCAATTCTTAGGGAAATGTATTATACTCAGAGAACTAGTAAAAGACAGTGCAACACTGATGTCCAGAGGCAGCAAGATGACTTGAGATTCATCAGTTTCAGTGTGGGTCTCAAATGACAAAATGGCTTTCAGTCCTATTTGAAAGTTACAAGTTATTATTTATTATTTTGATCATTGTATTGAGGGCTGTTACAATTATTACAATCCATACATCAATTGTATTAGGCGGATTTGTACATATGTTGCCATCATTCTTTTCTAGAAAATTATTTGAAAGTTACAATTAAAAATGTCAAGGTTAGCCTGGTTTTCAGAAGGTTATAGATGACAGTGCAAGCTTAGTCTATTTGCAGGGAGAAGTCTGCAGTGAATTCCCTCTGATCATAGATGAGGGATGTGAATAGCATTGCTGGGTGTCAGAGAGCACTGTAAACTCGATTATGGCAGATATAAAGTATAATACCATATCATTTGATCTCCATTTCGACACATTTTAAAGTTGTTTCATTTTTTAAAAAAAGGAGAAATACACGTGGTGAATTCCCACTGACCATAGACCAAGGATGTGAATAGATTTGCTATCATGCAGAGAGTGTTGGAAAGTGGATTGTTGCAGATCCAGTTAGGTTAAAATCTAACACCTCATCATTTGATCTCCTTTTTGACTCATTTTACATTTGTTCTAGTTTTTAACATTTCTTGCTTTCTCCTTGATTGCAGTTTTTCTCTGGTTTATTTTGTTATTATTGTTAGTTTTTTGTTGCTGCTGTTTTTTGATATGTTTTCCTGTATATGAAATCCAGATGGGTAATTATAGACAGTAACTGGATGAATGGCTTATTGGGGGTGTGGCAGGAGGAGTTTGTGGGGAAATAGAAAGCCATTAACAGTGAGTACATGAAAGAAGAACATGTTCTACAACTGATTGTAGTGATGAACAACTCTTTTTTTTAAATCATTTTATTAGGGGCTCCTACAACTCTTACCACAACCCATACACACATCAATTGTGTAAAGCGCATTTGTACATTCATTGCTCTCATCATTCTCAAAACATTTTCTCTCCACTTAAACCCCCAGCATTAGGTCCTCATTTTTCCCCTCCCTAAGGTCAGTTTTGAAAGTGGACCTCAGGCCCCCATGGAGTAAGTCATTCCTGCAGTTAATACAGGGAATGGTCTGCACACACCACTTTTGTGTTGTTGAAACTCCCCACTCCCTGCCCACTAGGCACAGATGCAGAATTGGGATTGGCCAGGTATTATAAATGCACACATTGGGTTAAACAGTACCTGGGAATGTTGACATGTGCTCAGAGCAACAGAGGAGGGATATACTGATAGGCCAACAACCTATGGGGTAGGTTCTGAGTCAAGATGCCTTGGTTAAAGGAGGCACTCTGCACTCTAAGCTTATTCCATCCAATAAGCCGGGCCAATACAGAGCCACAAGACTCGAGTCCTCACAGGTCTTAAGTGCAAGGTTCATTTGTAGTTACAAAGAAGTTGGCAGGCTGTGCTCAACAAGTAGCTATTAATATAAGAAATGGTCTGAGTTACTTATATGTGTGAAGGAATATAGGTATGACTCCGTCTTTCATTTAAAATCAGATTTCTTAAACCGAGCTGGAGATTATTATAGTTCATGGTTATATCCAACCTGGCCCTTAATTTTGTGTAGGACAATCTCATTAATGTTCATGGATGTTGAATTTATTTGCCTCAAAATCCACATAACTATCCAAAGGGTATATTCTAAATGTTTATTTCAAATATAAACATATAAATAAATCACAGAAATAATCTTTGAATATCCTTTATATTCTGCTCTTTTCCCCACTAACACTGTCTAAATTTGAATACCAGCTGTTATTTGCTCTAAAGTCTTTGATAAGAGGGAAAAAATCCAAGTAAAGATTTTTTAAATGGTCAAATTTGATTTTAAAACACATTCTATTCTAATTTCTCTTTGTTTCCCACTCACAGTATTGGAATCATTATAGTTTTGTAGAAGTTCCTGAGCTCTGGGGGAAATGTTGCATGTGGACCTGTGCCAATTAGGCTTGATGTTATTAAGAGGATGAGTCATGCCAGTTTATGGCTAATAAATCACATATGATCTCCTTGCATAAGAATGAATCCGTATTTAATTGAGGTAGTTACTTCAGCTCCTATTTTTCCATAATATTCCACTCCCTCCAAAACCAGTGTGTAATATACACCCAGTCTGCAGGCATGATTGAAAACTGACACCACTTTTAATGACTGTTTATTGAGTGTGTGAATATAATTGACATTACAGAATTCTGCACTGGTTATAGTCTTGTCCATTAGCATATATTTCACAGTTAATTATTAAAGTTAGAAAGGCGATTAACAAGTTCTAATAAGGCCTTTCATAAATGCATTCTGTATATTCTGGTTTCTGGAAAACATTTTCAATGGATCTATTTAACTTTAAAAATTATATATTAATTAGGACAAACTAAGAATTTATTCATTTAATAAATTATATTTATGAAAATTTCAAAGAATGCAGTCACCTACCATTTTCCATAAATCTTTGATGTGCTTATTTACTATGAATAGACAGAATGTGGGACTCAGTTTTTAAAGTTAACAACTTCATGGGGTTACTGGGTGGCAATACGAGAAAAGGGGAACATTTCAATTTTGTGCACAAAAGGCTGATGAATTTATGAAACACCGCCCCCGCCCCATGCACTTCTATCCTCACAGTCAAAGGCTCGTTTAGTGCTGAATGTCTTTTCTATCTCCCCTTAATCAAAAGAAGTGAAGTTATACTACTGTTACAACAGTATATTAACAAAACAACAGTATATTAATTTTAATAACAGAAGCAGGAGGTTATGACTGGTATACAGAGAAGCATCAAAATGCATAGAAAAGTGAAAAACAATCATGTGGATTACTTAGTTTTACTATATATTTTTTAGACAGATGTAGTACATTAAATGCTCACAAAGAGTCTCAATTTGCTCAGTGCACATGGACCCTACAATCATTTAAAGGGCCACCTCCATCAGGGTATAATGAACTTCAGCAAATTAATTCTAGATGATTGCTGTACTTCTCTTAAAGATGTTAGCTGTAAGAACACTCAATAGTGGAGAACAATAGAGCCTGTGATTTGCAAACACATTGAGGACAAGCTCTTGCCTCAGCGAGAACCTGGTAGGAGTCGCAGGAGTCTTTGGGAGGAGAGAATCCACTGACTGCACTGTCAGCCGGATGTCAGATGAGCATCTTCATGTCAGAGCACATCCTGTAGGCCTGCTGTTTACCAACCTATACAAGGGTCTGGGCAATCTCGCAGGTAAGTTTCAAATTGACCCTTGGTCACGTCCATCAAAGTGGTAAAAACAGTCAGCTGAAAGAAGAGTTGTTCAGAAGATATTTTCAGTTGTATGATAGCTTACTTCATGTTAGAATGTTTATGTTTCTCGAACTTGCTTTAAAACGTTATGTAATATTAAATAATGGTACATTAAACTATCAACTTCAATAGCACAGTGTGTGAATATAAGTAGGCTAAGGACAAAATTGCTTTAGTTCTTTTACAAGGCTTGGTTCCTGAGAGCACACACTGAGAAACAAGCAACTCCTTAAGGAATTTCAAACTCACTTCTCCACAAAGTATAATTTATAATTATGCAATGACTAACCATGTACCATGAGTTTAATTTTTGCTCTCCTTATTCTAAAAGTAATGTGCAAGCACATGGATTGCAAAACACACAGAGACACACAAACACGGACACGGAGAGTTGCACAGGAAGCAGAAGTAACCTAACTGTGGGCTCACATGAAAATAGTCCAGGCAAACTGAGAATTATACCCTAACTATAGAATACAGAAGGATTCCTGCAGGGGCTATGTTCTGATCCAAATGATAGAGGACTGGTAGAAATCCTACTGTCAAAGGTAAAAGAGGTACTTATATTTTAGGGAGCATTAGATAAAAGTGCCAAGGGGGAAGAAAAGAAACAGGTGGGAAAATCAGGACCCATACACACTGACCACACACTGGGTGACAAAAAGCAAACCGAACAATTAGGACGCGTTCTGTAATTTCTGGCTGTGGTGTTGTTAGGCGCTGTCCAGTCATTACAACTCATAGCGGCCCTATGTACAACAGAATAAAACACTGCCCTGTCCTGCACCAGCCTCACAATAGTAGCTATGCTTTGTAGCCCATTGTGGCAGCCTCTGTGTCAATCACTTTTGCCGAAGGTCTCTCACTGGCTGTCTACTTTACAAAGCATGATGCACTTTGCCAAAGGCTGGTTTCTTCCCATCACGTGCCCGAAGCATGTGAGATGAAATATCGCCATCCTCACTTCTAAGGAGCATTCTGGCCGGACTTCTTCCCAGACAGATTTGTAAGCTCTTCTGGCCATCCATGGTACTTTCAGTAGTCCTCACCAACACTCAGTCAAATGCATCCGGTCTTCCTGATTCATTGCTCAGCTTCTGCAAGCATTAGGAGGTGACTGAAAATACCAGGGCTCGAGTTTGGCACACCTTAGTCCTCAGAGTGACCTCTTCGCTTTTCCACACTTTAAACAGGTCTTTGCAGCAGGTTTGCCCAGTGGAGTGCGTTGTCTGATTTCTTGACGGCTGCTTCCACGGGTGATGATGTGGAGCTAAGTCAAATAAAATCCTCGGCAACTTCAATATTTTCTCCATTTATCATAATGCTGCGTATTGGTCCCGTGGGGAGGTGCTTTCTGTGTGTTTGGTTGTCCTTTGCTATGGTGACGTACATTCCATACTGAAGGCTGCAGGTAGTCTCTGGTCTTCACAGTAAGTGTTTCAAGTCTTCTTTTCAGGAAGCAAAATTATGTCATCTGCTTATCACAAGTTGTTAATAAGTCTTCCTCCAGTTTCAGTGCTGCATCTTTCTTCATACAGTCCAGCTTCCTGGATTTTTTGTTCAGTAAACAGACTGAAAAGTATAATGAAAGGATACAACCCTGACACACGCCATTCCTGATTTAAAACCACATAGTAGCTCCTTGTTCTTTTGAACGAACACTCGCTTGGTTTATATAGAAGTTCGACAAGAGCACAATTAAGTGGTCTGAAATTTCCATTCTTTGAAATGTTTCCTGTTACTCGCTATGATCCACATAGATGAATGCCTTTATGTGGTCAAGGCATTGAGATACAGGTAATCCTCTTTCTAGTATTCTATTTTCATTCAAGATCTATTTGACACCAGCAATTATAGCTCTTGCACCACATCCTCTTCTGAATCCTGCTAGGATATTTAGCAGTTCTCAGACATTGCATTGCTGTAGCCATTTTTGAACTATCTTCAGCAAAGTTTTACTTGCATGTGATACTAATGGTGCATTTTATTGGATAACCTTCCTTTGGGATGGGCATATATATGGATCTCTTTCAGTCAGTTGGCCAAGTAGCTGTCTTCCAAATTCCTTGGCATAGATGAATGTACGATTCCAATGTTGCATGTGTTTACTGAAACATCTCAATTGGTAATTCCAGGACCCTTGTTTTTTGCCAATGTTTTCGGTGCAGCTTAGACTTCTCCCTTTACTACTTACTATTGGTTCTTGGTCATATGCTACCTCCTGAGAACAATTGTTTTTGGTACAGTAACTGTGATTCTCCATTTTCTGTTGCTGCTTCTAAAGTCTTTCAATAATTTGCACAACAGTGCAACCCAACGCTTTGATTTTTTCCCTTCAGTTCTTCCAATTTGAGGAATGCTTGACATATACTTCCCTTGGAGTTTTTAAACTCATGGTCTTTACATGTTTCATTAATACTTTACTTGGATTTTTCGAGCTGTCCTTTGAAATTTTCTGTTCATCTCATTTACTTTATCAGATCCTCTATTCACTTTAGCTGTTCTATACTCAAGAGCAAGTTTCTTTTCAGTCTTTTCATTTTTGTCCCGTCTTTCAAATGGCCTTTTTGCTTTCTTTATGTATGATATCCTTGCAGGCACCCTATAATGTCATTAGTGTCAGTGTGCCAAATCTATTCTTGAGATGGTCCCCAATTCAGGTGAGCTATATTCAAGGTTGCATTTTGGTCCTTGTGAATTTGTTTAGTTTTCCTCAGCTTCAACATGAACTTGCATATGAGTACTGATGTTCTGTTCCACAGTTGGGCCCTGTTCTTATTTTGGCCAATGGCACTGAGTTTCTCCACTGTCTTTTTTCCAGATGTCGTAGTTTTAAATCTTGTGTGTTCTACCTGGTGAGATCCACATAGAGAGTCACCATTTATGTTGCTGAGAGAAGGTATTTGTAGTGAATAAGTGGTTGGCTTTGCAAAATTCTATTATAGAATCTTTCATGTCGTTTCTATCACCAAGGCAATATTTCCCAGCTGCTGATCTTTCTTCAATTCCAACTTTCACATTCCAAACACCATGAATTATCAATGTCAATCTGCAGGAGCTGGGAAAAATCTTCAATTCATGCATCTTATGCATTAGTGATTGGTGCAGATGCTTGAATAATAGTTGTATTAACTGTTCTTTGTGAGATTAACGTGAACCAGCTCTCTCACAAATCAAACGTGGTCGCAATTGAGAAAGACAGGTAAGAGATAAGATAAAATATAACAACGTTGGGGCATCGGGGGCTCCTGGAGCACAGGGACGCCAAGGCCCAGAACTGTATTCGAGGCCGGATTATATACAGTTCTTGTCACATGTCCTGCATTCCATCACAAGTTCTCTCACAAAGGGCTTGTTGACAATTTCTCGTGAAAGTTCTCACACAGAGTTTGTGACAATATACTGCGAAGGTAAACAAAGAAGCAATAATAGTCTAGCCAATTTGTCTACAGTCTGGAGGGGAGATAAAGCCAGAAAGTGAATAAAACTGAGCACCCATAGAATGCTGTGTTTCCGCGGTTTTTCCCAGGGAACAGGAGAGAAGACATTTACTTTATCTTAGGTCAAGGTCAGACTTTCAGCATCTCAGCTCCCTGGTTTGAGTTGTCAGCTTTTTCTCACAGCCTTGCTTAAACTGTGGAATATGGCGATGGTCTTGTCTTACTTGGAGAAAGAAATGAGGCTCACATGGTCCCAATCATGCACGTGGTTGCTTGGAAGCCCAGGACTGCGTTCCGCTCCAGGTGGTCTGCACTCAGAGAATTAGCCCAATATCTCCACATCCCGAGACTTCAGCACGGCTTCCTTTCCCAGAGTTATCTCAAGACAATTTGCTCCCACCCACAGGTCTTCCTTGAGCTATACAGAAGTTATCTTATTACTGACAATGTTGTTCTTCAAGATGGAACTTGAAGTATTCTTTTTGATAGTGAATGCAATGCCATTCCTCTTCAAATTGTCATCCTCAGTATAATAGATGTTACATTGTCTTATTAAAAATGACCAATACCAGCCTGTGTAAGCTCACTAATACCTAGGATATTGGTCCTTATGCATTCCATTTCACTTTTTAACTTCAAATTTTCCTAGATTCATACCTTGCACATTGCGTGCAATTGCTCATGGATGTCTGCAGCAGTTTCTACTCATGTTGAGTCATGCCACATCAGCAGCTGAAGGTCCTGAAAAACGCTGCTCCGTTCTCGTCCTTGGCGTCAGCTCTTCCCCGGGGCGTTCTGAGTGTCTTCGAGCCTGAGAGGTCATTCCCGGCACTACATCAGACAATGGTTCACTGGTGTTCAGGGGCTAATTAAAAAACAAAAGAGCTTTCCAGCTCCTCCTTCCCAGACATTGTCTGTAAGCTCTGCTGAAATCTGTCCGCGAAGGTGACCCTGCTGGTAGTGAAACTGCTGGGGGAGGAGCACAGCAACACATGAGCCACCAGAGATGGAAGAGTGGTGGTTTCAGCGAACGTACTGGGAATAGAAAAAGATAACGGTAACCTTTCAGGGCAACCTGAGTCTAGTGAAACAAAGAGCTCTGTCTAAAAATGGGCTTTTGATTTTGTCAAAAGTGTTAAGGATTAGTTGTGGAGTATGGTTTGAGATTTCTGATGGAGAGAAATCAAGAGTAAAAGGCTAGAATTAATTCAAATGCCATTTACCTATTGTTGGAAACAATATTCTAGCTAATGTGGTCATTTACACACACACACACACACACATACACCTACACTTTCACACACAAAAAATATAAAGAAATCAGTGTTATGCTGAATAGGACTTGGGTTTCTAAATGAAGTTGATAACAACAACAACAACAAAAAACAAAGAGAAAGCAAGGGGCCAAATTCTTCTCTCAAAACAAATATATAAAATATAAATACCTTGTTGAGAACAGGTTTTGTAGACAGGACATCATAGATGGCTGAAAGTGTAATGTTCTGAAACAAAAACAATTTCATTCAGTAAATTTTCTTCAGCAGCATTAGCAACAACAATGGGGTATCAGAAATGAAGCCATTCTTGTCCCTATCCGCTCAGTGTCCCTGTTAGTAACAGAGGGATTCACTCTACAAGGGCTCTAGCGTATTGTTTTTATGTTTTCTCATCCTATGCTTTTGCATTCTGATCGGTTTACCATTCCATTTCAGGTAAGAAAACAAAAGTACAGCAAGTTTTGCTCTTGTAGTAAAAAACAAAAAACAAAAGCCCTCCGTCTAGAAGTAGTGAGTAACCTGAGGTGTATAAATCCTTCAGAACTAAGGACATCTTCAACAGGCCCGCTTTCTTCCGGCATGTGACAATGCAGACGTACCTCCTGGGTTGTGTGGTTCAAACAGGTCTTTGCAGGTGTCCTACGATCATCCAGGAAGAAGGGATTTTTCCAACGGTCGTAATTTGTTTGTAACACATACCATCGGCCTTGTTCAGGATTAAGTCTAGATACCAAAAGAGAGGTTGCCTCAGGCTTCATTATTTACACCTCTACTTCTCAGTTTCTTCTTGGCTACGGAACAGACATACTTACTCGTATACATCCAAAGATACTTTTCTGTCTCTTGTAATGACACAACCCTCCCCAGAACGGTTGCCTCCAAGAATAAAATATGCTGGAGCCATGATCTTGGTTTTGGTCAATATATTCTTGGCTTCTTCATAGCTATGCAGAAACGAACGAGCAAAAAAAAAAAAAAAAAAAGGAACTATTTTTAGTTGATTTAGAAAATACAGGAATGGATTTTTTTTTTTCCCCTAGTAGCTCCATGGAAACAAATGATCCGAGGAATGTGATTTTTAAGATGGATAGATAGCAGTGGGTCAGGGAGATACAATCCCTATTCCTGTGTGAGTAAACTCGGGGAGCTGAAATAGTATCACGTTTAAAAACACAAAGAACAAAATACGCACTACCACTGAGTTAATTCTGATTCAGGGTGACCCTACAGGACAGGGCAGAACTCCTGAGGCTTCCCAAGGCTGTAACTCTTTACAGGAGGAGGAAGCCTCATCTGCTACTTCAGAGTGAAGGAGAAACAAAATGGCTTTCAAGAGATCTTCCTCCATCATTAGAACCCATGTCTTGTGCTCGCTTCGGCAGCACATATACTGGAGAAAAAAAAAAAAGAACCCATGTCTTTTACCTAACAATAGAACAGAGCCGTGCCATTAACTATTATACATAGGATCGAGAGACTATAAAGGTTCTTGACAATTATTCTCGCTGATTCAGGGTCACCCCACAGGCACAGTGTAGAACTGCTTCATGGGGTTTGCAATGCGAAGGCCTTCTAAAAGCCAACGGCCACACTTTTCTTCTGAGCTGCCTCTGGATGGTTAGAAGCGCTAACCTTTGAGTTAGCAGTCTAGCGCTTCAGCATGTGCACCACCCAGGGACACAGTTTTGAATATTAGGGCTGCTAACACTTAGATTTAGGCCCCAAAGATGATTATTAAATCCCATTCCCTGGTGAGTTAGTTAATTGTGCCAACCTGGCCGATAAACACATGTGGGGCTAATTGAAAGGCGGAGGGATAAATGGGTGGTGAGCCTCGCCTTTCTAGTTCTTGGGTCTCTTGCTTTGTGATGGTCGCACCAGGGTGCAGCAGCCTTAGCAGTTCCCTGCTTCAGCTTGCAAGATTGACTTCCTACAAGACATCCCCAAGGAGAAGCCACATGGACCTATCCCGATGCAGCCCTGGGTGCTGGAGCAGCCGTGTGGAGACCCCTGCTAGTGCTGAGATGCTTTTCCATTCACTGACTCAGTTTTCCTCCTGCAGTCAGCATCATTGCCTCTGTTTTGTGAGGTGGAGGACTTTGTGGACTGGTGTTGGGTTAATGGGTTAATGTTCGACTTGTGGGCTTGGGCAGCATTGGGTTGGGATATTTTCGTGATGCACACTTTCTTTACATAAAACTCTCTCTTATACATGAGTTGCTGTGGATTTGTTTCTCTAAAGTACCTAGACTAATACACCTGGAAAGTATCAAAGACAGGCTCGATGTTCATTGATCCTAAGTCATTTGGATGCTATGTTGGCTGAGGAAAAGGTAGTTTTTGTTGCTATAAAATTTCTGCATCAGTGTGGATAACTCTTAGCATATATTACCATTTAAATGCAGTTTTTATTGTACAAGGTTTCTGAGTATGTCACACCAAAATTCTGGTGCTCTCAAGAGTAGCAGTATCCCTAGCACATTTTAAATCAACCGGTTCATCTTCCTGTTACACACACACACACACACATACACACACACTTAAAGTGTGACTAATTCCTTATGAATGCCAAAGTCATCACAGCAACTAGGAAATTCTGAAATTAGTTTGTTAATGGAAGATAAGTCTGGACTTGAAAATATTTTTATTTTTTACCAGGAATCACTTAAAATATACCAAATATTAACTTGAAAATAAAGCAAACAAATAGATTACCTTGTGCTATTTTCCAAAACTGATCTGGTGATAAACCCTATCCAATTGATATCTTTCTTCCCCATAAGCCATTCTAGGACACCTGCAAGAAATGAAACACACACACACAGTATCACAGGACTGGAAGAAATGAGACTAATTATAGTCCAGCCATACTTTTAAAACTTTTTCTTGTGAATTTGGCAAACAGCCTCCTATTGCACATTTACAAGACTCCATTTCTAATCAGAATACGCTACTCACCCATATAACCACCATTCATAGCGAAACGTTCATTTAGCGAAAGACTAAACAGCCCCTGAGAAAAACAGAAAGCAGTAGAATCAGAACCCTCAACCCTCCTCTCTCAGGGTCTATCGCTCTACTTATAGCAGCGTACGGAAGCTTATACCGGGCAAGGGGGAATACGCGGGAAAATCTAAACCATGGGATATCATCTTCCCATGTAGTATGTGAGTGAAAAAGGTTTGCTGTGGCTGGCCTCACTTTTCCGAAGGAAACAGAGTGACCGGCCTGAGTGAGCAGCAGACCTAGGACTAGATCCCAGATCACACTCTGGCTCTCATCCCAGAGCAGCCTCAGAAACCTCCATCGCTCCCTGCGCTTCTCTTACAGGAAAGGTCACCCCTAGAAAGGTGACAAGCAGGGCAAAGGGATAAAAGCAGGCTTCGTGGTTTCTGCCGTTACTCCTTTCTTAAGGCTCCACCTGTCACAGCGAGGCAGCACGGGACCCAGAACTACCTGTGAAGCACTGTAACAGTGGGAGCCTTACTGGTTTGAATCCTGTTAACATGCCCACATAGCCAGCAAAGCTTGCTGCTTTGAAGACGGTCTGGTTATTTCTCTGGAAGTCCAAATTCACGGATAAAGGTTTGAGTTCCTCAGTTACGGTCCAGGAATTATTATTTGTATTCCACCTACGGGAGAGATTTCAGTGACAGTTATGTAAGAATGACACGGCTAATATCCGAGACAAAAAGGATGAGTGTCATGATGACGGGAGCCAGGAACTGGACTGAGCACTCCGTCTACCAGACCACTTGTGATCGACTCTAACAAGAATCTGAGATGTTCGCTTTATCCCCCGCAGTGTTTCAGACACCACAACTGAGGTTTGGGGACGTTAGGGAACTATCCTATCACCATATAGCATACAGCGAGCCCCCTGGTTCACATTTAGATATGTGTCTAGAGACAATGTACAACTCTGGCACTCTTAATTTTTCTAGAAAATGCTACTGTTCCTTCTAGGGACTAAACAAGATATGCATCTAGCATCTTCCAGCCTGCTCATGACTTCTGTCCACAAAATGCAGCTTCTCGGATAGCTGAATGGTAAGAGAGTGACTATCTCGTCTTAAAAGAATCTAGTATCTTGACTTATGACTTGGGACATATTTTTCATCAATATAGTACAATATGCTCTTCTTATAAACTAATAAGCACTTTTCTTTACTCACCCAAGAAATACTCCAAAATCCATGTTCCTGCCATGTAGTAAGTGGCCTAGGTGAAAATGAGAAGACATGTAAGACAGATGAGAACATAGTGTAACAGTTAAGAGTATACTATTGCAATGTAACAGTCAAGAGAGTGCTGTTGTAGTTTAACGATTAAGATCATACTATTGTATAACAATTAAGATCGTACTACTGTAGTGTAACAGTTAAGATCAACTACTGTAGTCAAAAGAGTACTATTGTAGTATCACAGTCAAGAACGTGCTACTGTAGTTTAACAGTTAATGAGGGCAATGAATGTACAAATGTGCTTTACACAATTGATGTATGTAGGGATTGTGATACGAGTTGTATGAGCCCCTAATAAAATGGTCTAAAAAAAAAAGATCGTGTATTGTAGTGTAACAGTTAAGACAGTACTACTGTAGTATAACACTCAACAGAGTACTAGTGATTTAAATTAAAGCTGATCATTTAAGTTTGGTTCATTTATATTCTTAATTGTTCACTCTAACATTAAGAATTAAGCAGCATCTTGATACCATAAGGCTTCCTAACAAAACCACTATTTTTTCTTTTCTTTAAATCAAGCCGTTACCACTGCCACGCATGCCTGACTTGTCTCACAAGACGTGGGCGCTGCAGAGCTCCAGGTCCAATCAGGAAGGGGAAAAGCATCAGTGGGCACCGTTTGGAGCACTAGGACATGGCTCTCTCCAAACATCAGTGTCTTAGTTTCAACGAATGCGATTTCCCAACACTGCCCTGCAGCATTGTCCCCTACAGCTGGGCCCCATGAGGATTAGTGTACAAAAATTCAGTGACACTTAGTCAATACCAACTCATAGCGACTCTGTAGTAACGTGACCAGACGTCCTGCTTTTGGCTGGACAGTCCTGATTTTTAACAATTTTTCCCATGTTCCATGGCGGTTTGTTTTTTTCTTTCTTTCCTGTGGCGTTTTTAAAAAGTCCCAATTTTTGGGAAGAATTCACGACAAGCTAGGGTATATGGGTTTCGGCTGCCATGTGCCTATTTCAGGATATGAGTTTTATCAATGGTGTCCTGCTTTACCAATGTTAAAATCTGGTCACCTTACCCTATAGGGAAGAGTAGAACTGCTCCGGGGTGGGGTGGGTGGGGGTATCCCCAAGATTATAACTCTTTATGTGAGTAGAAAGCCTTGTCTTTCTCCCACAGAGCACCTGGTGGTTTCAAACTGCTGCCCTTGTGGTTAAGCAGCCCAGCCCATAACCACTACCCTATCCACAGGGCTCCCGAGGGTTAAGATAAGCAGACTTTATACCCAGGCTTAGACTTAGAAACCAGTTAGATCAATGTGATCCATCCTGTGCCTTGTGTTCTGGGGACCTGCCAGGGAAAATGTGAGAAAGTGAGACCGGTAGTCAGAGGTCACATTTTCTTTGGCTGAGAAATGATGAGAAAATGGTGGTTTTTGGCTTCGAGGTACGTTGGGGACCTTAATGTATCTGAAGATGATGAGGCAGCTCCTGTGAAGACTAACATGCAATCGTGCAGATAGCACAAATCGACTCTGAGTAGCAGTGAAAAGGTTTATGCTCCCCAAAGATGCATCCCTGAATTAAACTCATAGAAGTATAGTGATTGAAATGAGTGGCAGCTTTCACTCTGCTTCTCAAAATTTAACCAGGAATACAAAACAGTAGGCCACAAACACAGAATGCACATAGCAAGCCTGGTTTTGAGAGAAAGTTCCAATTCCCATGATGAGAAGACAGTTTTACTGCCCACCCGCCCTCAGCACACATTTACCTTTCTTGTCTTCTGTTACTAATGAAGTACAGATGGTAAAAAATTCGTAGAAAATATTGAAGGAAATAATCTCACCTATGAGAAAGGAAAATGCCCTTGTTAATGTACAGGCCTGTGACCATACAAAAATCAATTTTGGGGGTACAAAATGGTTGATGCCAACAGTTCACGTGCGTGACTTTCAATCTAGAAGTGTGTCAAAAGAAAGGCCTCGCTATCGTCTTCTCCAAACCGGCCGTTTAAAACCCCAGGACGGAGTAGGGCTAGTTGGAGCCAAGTTGTTCGGTGCCTGGAATCATGACTGCATGAGTGCGCTTTGCTGTACACCGGTGACCAGATGCAACGCAGTGTGGCTGCGCAGCTGCTCCTTCACTGCTCTGTGCCCTCGTAATGGTGGTGGTGGTGGTGGTAGGTGCCACCGGGTCGGTTCTGACCCATAGCGACCCTATGCACTACAGAACCAAACATGCACCGTCCTGATAACGGTTCCTAGGCCGGAGCCCACTGTTGCAGCCATGGCGTCAGTCTGTCTCTCTGAAGGCCTTCCTTGTTTCTGCTGCCCCTCCTCGGGACCCAGCTTGGGCATAGTGAAGATAAGCAAGCTGTCAGAGGGTGGCTGCTGGAGAAGCCGAGCACCTGCACGAGCGGCGTTGGGCCACAGCATGTTACCCACCTTGTCCATCCACGTGTTTCAATTCAGTTTTCCGTGAGGAGCTCACTTATGAAACCCAATGTCTCCTGGGTAGATGCTGAAAAGGCGGTTTAGGTTTCCCCTGATTTTAAGGAGAGGAGATATGTGGATGACTTACAAAACCACACAGGCAGAAGTACTCCAAAATCCATCAGAACATTTAAAAAATGTCTTTTCCCAAACAGAACATTACCATTTAATATTTAACTCAAGTATACGCAGGGTACTTTATCTCTCTCCCCTTTAGAGTGGACATGTTAGGGCTGGCATGCTCTTATCAGTTCTAAGCCAGTTTTTATTTTGTCTTGTTTATGTACATTTTGGTGAAATTCTGCACTTATTTTCTTTCATTGTGACTTTTAAAATCTGTCTATTTATTTATGGTGGCAGTATACATAACCAAACACAACCACTCACAATTTCTACATGAGCAGCTCAGTAACAGTGCTTAACACACTTCATGTTGTATTACTCTGCTGCTCTTCTGAACCACTTGTGTTTCTTTTGAGATATTTGTATTTGGTCCTGATTTACCAGGATTATTCCCACAATAAAGCAATGATAAGACTTCTCATATGAGTGGAAAGATATATTTCTAGTATGTTGACTATTTAAAAAAATAATTTTTAAGGAAATGTGTAACAATAAGAAAAATTTTGTCCCCATTGTGAAATACTACTAACCTTCAGAAATTCTCCAATCTCTCTCTACCCTTAAACCAAGGTAGCAGTAGATTCTAAAATTAACAACTCGATTGATTTGGTAGCTTGAAAACAAAACTTCTGAAGTGGTGGAAGAGACTCTTTCATTAAATTAAAAGTTATAAATGCCGTATGACAGGAAATTGGAAACAAAATTCTCAACAAGGAAAGTGCCCAGCCGCAGCAGCCACCTCGGCTGGGGCCCGGCGCCGCTGCCTGCCCGGGGGATGAAGCGGGAGTCGGAGCTGGAGCCGCCGGTGCCCGACAGGGAGGACCCGGAGCCAGCCGGCCTGAAGCCTCGCACTCCGGGTAATCGCGGATTCCCAGCACGGGGTCACCAGGAGCCGGCAACAACCCCCCATGCTATGGTTCGGCCTTTTACTACCATCCCATCCCCACCACGCCCACGGAGTACGGAGTGCCACACGCTCAGGACGCAGACTGGGCATAACCTGACGCTCAAGCCCACGCAGCGCGGGGCGGCAACGCGCCCAGCACACGGAATGGGCTCCGACGCAGACAGGAGGAAGAGCACGGACGGCCAGACGGACGGCCAGCACTCAGAGACACCTAAAGGAGTGATAATTCAGAGTAAATCTACTGCACGTCTCATTTCTTTCCGCTTCGGGGACCCTGACCTCCGGCACGTGTTTGGGCAGTTCGGCAAAATCCTAGATGTAGAAGTAATCGTTCATGAACGTGGCTCGAAGGGATCCGGGTTCGTAACTCGAGAATAGTGCTGCTGCAGACAGGGCCAGGGAGAAATTCCGCGGCACCGTGGCACAGGTGCCACGCGCAATGACCAAGAAGCTGGTCACACCACATGCAAATGGGTGGGCGCTCGGCCCTGCAGTTGGAGCTGTGTATATGGCCGAGTTATATGCAGCATCCAGCGTTCAAGCAGATGTGTCCCTCGGCAATGACGCGGCAGTGCCCCCTCATCAGTCTCCCTTTAGTTCCTGGCTTCCCTTGCCCGACGGCGGCCACCACGGCAGCGGCTTTCAGAGGGGCCCATCTGAGGGGTACAGGTCGGACGGTGTACGGTGCAGTTCGAGCGGTCCCTCCAACAGCCAGCCCCACCTGTCCAGGTGTGGTTTACCAGGGCGGATTTTACAGTGCTGACTTCTATGGCGGATATGCAGCCTACTGATATGCACAGCCTCCCACTGCAACCGCAGCCACGGCTGCTGTAAGCGCTGCAGCTGCTTACGACGGGTATGGCAGGCTGTACACAGCAGACCCCTACCACGTCCTTGCCCCTGCCGCTAGCTCTGGAGTTGGCGCTGTGGCAACTTTATACCGAGGTGGCTACAGCCGATTTGCCCCCTACTGAAGTGATGTGAGACCCGCACATGGGACAGCCCCCAGTTCATGAGGCCTGGCTATTGCAATATTTACTAGTAGAGGAACTCTAGAGCAAGATGAGGAGGAACAACAAACAAAAATAAAAACACAAAAAAGAGAATACTTTTTTATACCTCACTATGTTCTTTGAATATGTATTTTTTTCCTTTAAATTTCTGCCTTAAAAAAAAATTCTAAAAAAACCCCCCAATACCTAAGAACTGTATATGAGTAATATGGAAAGCCTTCTTCCTTGAAATAGATAATACATCTTAGAAAAATGAATGATGAGGACCTGATGCTGGGGGCTTAAGAGGAGAGGAAATGTTTTGAGAATGATGAGGGCAATGAATGTACAAATGCGCTTTACACAATTGTGTGTGTGGATTGTGATGAGTTGTATGAGCCCCTAATAAAATGATTAAAAAAAAAAATGAATGGCCTAAATCAATGGCAAAACAAACCATACTCATGGATTGAAAATTTAGTACAGTGAACCCTCGCCACTTCGCGCTTCGACTTCCGCGGCTTCACTCTATCGCGGTTTTTGCGTAACAGCGCATGCTCTGTCATTACTGCCACTGATTGGCTCATACTGTACACGCTTCTGTCTGCATCGCTACGTATCGGAGCTACGTATCAGATGCAATTTTGCTTTTGTACAGTGTACTGCAATTGTTTGCGATTTTTAAGAAATTTTATCTAAGCCCTATGATGGCTCCTAAACGAGCTGCTTCTTCTAAGCCTTCTGACAATAAAAATAAGTGCCCCTACACCCGCTCCTTCAGAGGAAAAAGACGGCGACCCACCTGTAGAGTACATCCCTTAAGTCATTTCATAGGCTATTGATTACAGTATTTGTAAGAACTATGTATAATAATACTGTATGTGAAATATGTAATACTGTAAACTAGATGCCATAAATAATATAATAAATAATAAATGATAATTGTAACGTCCAAAATGTTTTACTGTATTTTCCCTTTTTCGTTTAATAAATTGGGTAATACGAGTGTAATGGTGACTAAAGGGTGTTTTTTCATGTCCTCTATGCTCTAACTATGAAAATATTTGATTTACAAATAAGGAATCCTACTTTGCGGAATTTCATTTATCACGGTAGGGTCTAGAACCGATTAACCGCGATAAACGAGGGTTCACTGTTCTAGTAACATGTCACTTCTCTCCAAATTAAACTGTACATTATAAGATCATTCCAAGTATCAGTAGCCAGCCCCACCCCCCCAAGTTTGTAAACTTTGGGAAACACAAATAGGCTAGAATCGTGCATCTAATTCTGAAGACTTCACTGTGAAGCTCTAGTAACTGAGGCAATGTGGTACTGGCTTAGAGAGAGACACAGAGGTAAATGACACTGAATGGAAAGTCCTGAGGCCTCTAAGTTTTCTGGCCGGTTCTTTGATGTCATCATTTCTCCCATCTTCAATCACTCGATGTTCGAGTTCAGTCTCTTCTGACGTCCACTATGGCCTTTTCCTTCTTTCCTTTTTAGTATATGATGTTCTTGATGGCATCTTCATCTGCTCTTCGGTAGTGCTCCAGTGCCAAACCTCTTCTTGAAATGGCCTCTGTAAATCCAGGTGCGATGCACTTACTCGCATAGACTAGTTTGAATTTTCTTTAGCTTCAACCTGAACTCGCATAGGAGTAAATGATATTCTGTTCAAAACAAAGCTCCAGCTTTGTTTTGTCTGATAATATTAAGCTCCTCCTTCCCCCCCCCCCACTGTGCTCCCCCACCCGACCCCCATGCACCTCCATATTTACCCAGAGATATAGTCAATTTGATCCCTCTGTATTCCATCTGATGAGGTCCATAAGTACAGCTATCATTTATGCTGTTGCAAAAAGTTGTTTGCTGGTTTTGAAAAATTATGTCATAGGATCTCCAGCATTGTTTCTATGGCCAGAGCCATATTTTCCAATACTAATCCTTCTCTTGTTTCCAACTTTCACATTCTAATCATCAATGATTATCAATGCATGTCGAATGCATGCTTATCAATTTAAGACTTAATAAGTTGGTAGCCTTCTTTAATTTCTTCATTCTTGGATTGAGTGTTTGGCATGTAAATTTGAGTAATAGGTATATTAACTGGCCTCCTTTTTAGACATATAGATAATATCTTGTCACAGACAGAATTCTTGAACTGCAAGACAGGTTCTGAAATGTTCTTTTTGGGGGTGAGTTTAATGCCATTCCTCTCCGACGTGTCCTCCCCGGTATGGTCAACTGTAGGATGGTCTGACTCACAATGGCCAGGACCAGGCCATTTCGGCTCCATGGTCTCTGTGCATTCTATTCCATTTTTTGATAACTTCCAATTCTCCTACAGTCATACTTGCTACTTCACCTTCCAATTTTTCCTGGACCTGTGCCACATCAGCAAATAAAGGTCCTGAAAGCTTTGCTCCATCCGTGTCATTAAAGCTGACTCTACTTGAGAAAGCAGTCTTATTTTGAATGCCTGTTGACCTGAGTGGCTCATCTTCTGGTACGCTGTCAGACAGAGTTCTGCTGTTACTCATAAGGTTGTCTGTCGGTGTATCTTCCTGCTTTCCCATCAGTCTGAGTCTGGGAGTTCTGCTGGAATCAGTCCAATCTGGGTCACCCTACGGGTATTTGAACTGTGGATGGCATAGCGTCTAGCACTGCAGAAACACACAAGCTACCACAAACTGATAGATGAGGTGTATGGTGTATAACGTAGCTCAATAAAAAATGTTTGAAAGATGGCAAAACGAACTTTACCTAAAGGTATTTCGGTGACATCTGCAATCCCTTTTATTTCCTCTTCAAAAGGACTTGGGAAGTTGCCAAGCAGACCAGGCTGAAAAACAAATGAACAATCATTCAACTAAAAGATCTGCTTTGAGATCTGGTTTTACATATGATTATTCCACATACCAGGGGTCTTCAAAAAGCTTATGGAAAATGGAATAAAAAGATAATGGGAATTCTCCATGAAGTTTAAGCCCTCCCTTATTGTTATCAGAATAAGATGTAATTAACACATTTTTATATTGTGGATTTCTATAAGATTCTAAATCATATTTAATAATGCAGTGCATAGTCCTGGCTCTGTAATTTCTGCCTTTGTTTCCTTAAGCTCATCTGTTCTCAGGACTTATTCAGGGATTACTTCCCCGCCCTTACACTGCACCAGGAAGAGAAGGAGCTGAATGACCTTGGGTGGACAGCCTAACATGAACTACAACACCATGGCATCATAACTGCAGCGTCCTTCACCTTGCTCTCCATTTCCCCTGGACGGCGCTGGATGCCCTAACAAGAACTACAGCACAAGGATGACATAACTGCAGCGCTGCTGGCCTGATTTCTCTAGCCTCCGCCTACCAAACTGCACTCACTCACTCGGTCTTTTCGCATGGCTCATGGCTGTTCTGGAGCCAACAAGCGCTCACGGGATCCTCCTGGCAAAAGATGGGCACATGAATAAACTTAGTGGCAGACATCATACTGTTACTCTTAACTATGCACTAATGATGAAATTCCAATCTATGCTCACTGCCTCTTGCCGTTTAAAAGTTAAAACTTTATTTCGCCCAGCGGGTGTTTATGGATAAATTGACCTATAGGAGGTGCCCCCCTAAGACGTCAAAGCATGGCTTCAAAAATATGGCACATCCTAGCCAATATAAACGTAGTGGGCATTTATTGAATATATCATTTAATCCTCACAACTGCTATATGAAATATTTATGAGTAGTAAATATTATTCTCCCTGATGAGAAAACTGAAGTTTCAGATGTTAAGAAATGTGTCAAAGAAAGAAAAGTGTCCAGGAACCCATGGCCTAAAGACCAGGTTCTGTCTGAATCCAAAGGGTGCTGTGGTGCAGTGGGCTGCTCGAGAGGTGGCCAACTGCAAGGTCAGCAGTTTGAAACCACCAGCTGCTCTGTGGGAGGAAGAGTAAAGGTCTCGGAATCTCCAGGGGCAGTTCTAGCTAGTCCCACAGAGTCACCGAGTCAACTGACTCGAGGGCAGTGAGCAGTCTGAATCCAAAGCTCAGGCACCAGAACATTTCGCAATACTGCCCTCCAGACAGACTGTCAGAGAACTGGGGGAATATTGGGACAAGTTCCTGCCAGCATTTCCTTTTGGAGAAGACAGGTCGTATGAACATGTAAGATAGCCTTGGATAAAGGAACACACATATAAAAGTTTGCTTTATGTGTTTTATACTTCATGGGGAGGATCTATCCACAAGACTACCATGCAGCCCTCGGCTCAGCGGCCTCAGAGTAATGATTCTTGGCCAGGGATGATTTTGGCCCCTGGGGCACACTTGGTTTTCTCAAGAGATCATTTGGGTTGTCACAGCAGAGGGAGGGCTATGGGTACCTGAGGAGGAGAGGCCAGGGAGGCGGTTAAACTTTCTACAGTGCCCAGGAGACCTCCCACTCACCACTAAGAATTATCTGGCCCCAAATGTCAATGGTGCTGAGATTAAGAAATCTGTTGCACCTGAGGTCTTGGTGAACACCAGCAATTTTCTGGACCCTGCATAACAAAGACTAAATGAGGGCCTCGTGGGGCCTTTGGGAGCAGGCCTTTCACAAAAATTCCACTAAATCGGAAAAACCCAAATCCTCACTGCCATTCCGTCAACTCATCGTAACCCTAGAGGCTACAAATCTTTCTGGGCACAGACAGCCGCCTCTTTCCCTCAAGGAAGGGCTAGTATTTTTTGACCTGCCGACTCAGCGGTTAGCAGCCCAATGCTTACCCAACAGCACTAGCAGGGCTTCTTTTTACATTAAAAAAGGGCTTTATCCCAGCTATCAAAAAAGATAGCGTCTGGGGTCTTAAACGCTTGAAGGTAAACAAGCGGTCCTCTAGCTGAGAAGCAACAAACTCCACATGGTAGAAGCACACCAGCCTGTGCACTCACGAGGTGTTGATGGGATCAGGTCTCAAAGAACAAAAAATCATATCATTGTGAATGAGGGGGAGTGCAGATTGGGGACCCAAAGCCCAACTGTAGATAACTGGACATCCCCTTACAGAAGGGGTGCAGGGAGGAGATGAGCCAGCCAGGGTTCAGGGTAGCAACGATGAAACATACAACTTCCCTCTAGTTCTTTAATGCTTCCTACCCTCTCCCCACCCCACTATCATGATCCCAATTCTACCTTACAAATCCCGCTAGACCAGAGGATGTGCACTGGTACAGATAGGAACTGGAAATACAGGGAATCTAGGACAGATGATCCCTTCAGGGCCAGTGCTGAGAGTGGCGATACCGGGAGGGTGGAGGGAAGGTGGGGTCGAAAAGGGGAACTGATCACAAGGATCTACATATAACACCCTCCCTGGGGGACGGACAACAGAAAAGTGGGTGAAGGGAGACGTCAGACAGTGTAAGACATGACACTAATAATTTATAAATTATCAAGGGTTCATAGGGGTTGTGGGGAGGGAGGGGGAAAATGAGGAGCTGATACCAGGGACTCAAGTAGAAAGAAAATGTTTTGAGAATGATGATGGCAACCAATGTACAGATGTGCTTGACACAATGGATGGATGTATGGATTGTGATGAGTTGTACGAGCCCCAAATAAAATGTTTACAAATGGGGGGGGGCGCTTTTAAAATTAAAAATGGAGTCTTGGGTGACCAGGAGGATAATGAAACAGTTTCAGGGGTCACAGCAACCTGAAAGAGTTTTAAGGATCGCAGCTGCTGAAGAACTCTGGGGTACAGGGTTGGGGTGAGGAGACTTTTAAAAGTTCCAATTTTTCTATGAACGTTTGAAGTCCTCATGTGTGTATAACTTTAGAAAAGTTATATGTATACTCAAGTTAAAAAGCATCAAACAGTACTCTACCCAAATGTGCCATTTTACTTCGTGTCCAGTTATCCTAAGATTAACCAAGCCCTGGAAATGTCAGCCCTGCCATTTTGCCAGTGGTATAAAATAACTACAATATTGTACGAGCTTTTGAGAAGAGGCTGTGGACTGAAGTCTCTAAATAAAGACAAGAGCCTTTCTCAACTATGTACCTAAAATCCTTATAGAACACTGCTTCTTACCAACTTTTGATCCACCATCTGCATGACTTTCCCACTCGGCACAAATGCATTCACTACATTTTTCAGGGAATTCACTATTATTCGTAGCTGAAAAATAGGTAAATGAAACAATGTAAAATATAAAGTATTGACACTTAAGAGTAGCATTATTATCATGAGAATAGATATAAGCCTATATGTATAGAGCAGAACAAAAAATATATATTGCTTAAGTAAACAGAATTGCAAAATCGTACTACATAAACATTGTACTTTTGGTAGTAAAATGATACTTTATTCTCAATTATTTAGGCAAAGAAAAAAATGATACAGAGGAAAAGAAACACTAGAAAAAGAGCAGCAAGATATAAAGGAATGACGCATTTTCCTCTGATTTTACTTACTGCACATGAAGAAAAGCATTGAAAGCTCATTCTTACGATACCTGGTAATTTCAAGTGTCCTTTTAAGAATACAATCATATTGAGCAACATTATCAACAGAAGGTGGAAGTAGCATAGCTTACTGCTGGCGCCTTGTCGGTCATCAACTTGTGCCATCTTTTGTAGGGTGGTAAATCAAGATTGATGGTGTACCAAGGGACTGGACCCCGATAGCTGTAACGAGAGGTAGATATCTTGAAATAGTGAAACATAGCTGTATCCCCACAAGACAGGTGGATCGTTTTATATTAATTGATATGTTAGAGACATATTCTTAATTTAAAAAAATAGAAGGTATTTATTTATTTATTTAAAAAAAATCATTTTATTAGGGGCTCATACAACTCTTATCACAATCCATACACACATCAATTGTGTAAGGCGCATTTGTACATTCATTGTCCTCATCATTCTCAAAACATTTTCTCCCCACTTAAACCCCAGGCATTAGGTCCTCATTTTTCCCCTCCCTCCCTGCTCCCCCCTCCCTCATGAGCCCTTGATAGTTTATAAATTGGTATTTTGTCCTATCTTGCCCTGTCCGACATCTCCCTTCACCCACTTTTCTGTTGTCGGTCCCCCAGGGAGGAGGTCACATATAGTTCCTTGTAATCGGTTCCCTCTTTCCTACCCATTCTCCCTTTACCCTCCCTGTTTTGCCACTCACACCACTGGTCTTGTAGGGCTCACCCGCCCTGGATTCCCTGTATTTTCAGTTCCTATCTGTACCAGTGTACATCCTCTGGTCTAGCCAGACTTGCAAGGTTGAATTCGAGTCATGGTAGTGGGAGCAAGGAGGAAACATTTAGGAACTAGAGGAAAGTTGTATTTTTCATCGTTGTTACATCGCACCCTGACTGGCTCATCTCCTCCCCAAGACCCCTCTGCAAGGGGATCTCCAGTGGCCTACTAATGGGCTTTGGGTCTCCACTCCGCACTCCCCCCATCATTCACTATGGTAAGATTTTTTGTTCTGATGATGCCTTATACCTGATCCCTTTGACACCTCGTGGTTGCATAGGATGGTGTGAGAAGCTATTTATTGAAACCAAACATCTTTACCTAGTGCTTCTGCCCTAGGTACATATTCAATCAGAAGTAGTCTCAGAAACCTGTGAAAGGTATACATTCTGGAAAATGAAGGTGAATTGGTGATACGTGATAGGCTCACCGGCGGCTCAAGTTTTAGCTTGAATGTCACTGCTGGAAAAGAACTTCCTTTCTCCCCCTTCCCAATCTCTGCCAGGGAACATTGTATGACATAGTGCTGAGCAACATGCACTTCCAGGTTAGGAGGCATTCAAAATACATGGTGGTCACAACGCTGTAAAGATGGAGCTAAAAAACTCAACTAACTGCCACCGAGTCAAGTCCGACTCATGGCGACCCCATTGGACACAGTAGAACTACCCCCGTGGGTTTCTTAGATGCTAACTCTTTACAGAAGCAGAAAGCCTCATCTTCTTCCTGTGGAGCGGCTGGTGGTTTCAAACGGCTAACCACTACACCATCAGGGTTCCTGAAGAGGGCTGAGAACCAGGCAATGTTCTGTTGCACATGGGGTTAGCCATGCATAGGAGCCAACTCGGTGGCAAGTAACGAAACTCATCCCGTGGCTCTACGTTCAGTCAAACAATAGACAGGGCTATAGGCTATTCAATAATACCAGGGGGGTACACACTCTTTAGAACAACCAATCGTACAAAATCAAAAGGCAGCCTTTGCCCTGGGACAATGCCCAGCAGGCAGGCAGGAATGGGACAGGGAGAAGAGCTAACACACACAGGAAAGCACAAGAGGAAGCAGTAAGTGAGCTGTTCCCATGTGGGCACTGCAAACTATGTCATCACGCATGATGTGCGGGATCTACTGAACAGAAAACCAATTTGCTCTAAAAACTTTCACTCAAATCTTTTACACAAGAAGTTAAAATAAGGAAACAAACGCTGCTGCTGAGCTGGGCACCTGGCTGTCTGTACACCTCTGTGAAAGCGGGAATTTGCTGTGGCACTCGTGGTGTGATTGAGGCAGAAAGAACAAGCTCACTTCCTTTTCCTTTTATGGAAACAAATTTAAACAAAATCCCAAGGAGTGAATTTTGTTCTCCTCAAGTACGTTCAACCCGAAGGGCACATGGCTCAGCCCTCTGTCAGACGGTGCGCCAGCGCAGAGACAGACTTAGGAAGGGAGAAAGGCGACAGTCAAACTACAACTCGAGGCCCAAGTGAGCCCATCACACGTCACCCTTCACCTTCATGCTCCAGAATGCATACTCCTCATGTCCTTAGTAGCTGATGCTCACGTTGAGAATGATACTGTTTAATCCTGAAATAAGCTTTTTACTCAAGACAAGTTAATTCCGTTTCTGACTGATCATAATTACTTGTGCACACTGACTGCCTTCCCTGTTATGAGCAGGTGTTCCTCAGGCACGCATGTGGGTCTCTGTGTTTACTAACCACCCGTGACACAGTGGCACCCACAGGTGCTGGGCATCCCAGTAGCACTGTTTTTAAAGGTGCAATTCTGGGACTGCTATCCAGCTGCGCCTCACCTCAAACAGCTAACCAAATCACATCCCCGGATAGTCCCTCAACTCCTGATTCTTTTCCAGTCAAGGTTCTCAGATAGGCTCTAGGATTTCAAAAAGGAAATGAACCCATGATAGGAGATTTCAATTAGGTGCGAATGAGAAACTTCAGGAACCGCTCTGTAAGAAAACCTCCGTGAACCTGTATTCTTTGGTAACATTCCTTCATTTGGTTAACAATTACACTAAGATACAAAACATGAACCGACGCCTTACCTCTCTTTAAACAAGTTCTTAAAACATCTGAGTATATACCAACTGCACTTTAATTTCTTATGGAATTGAAGATGAGGTGGTCTTAGAAATGTTGTGGGAAAATGTCAGTATCTTTTCCTTCCACTTTTCTGTGAACTTCTTGAAGCCACCTCATATTTACCTCACGAGTAGGGAGGCTTCTGGGAAATTCACAAGACAGTGAGCAGCACGGGCATCGACAACACTAACTGCACCACCTACCTTCTGACTCCACTACAGACAACAGAGACGGGCCACTTCCGAGATGTCGGGTTCGCCCCACCAGGTCACCATGATGAATATTCAGCACTGACTGAACCTGCATGGCTCCCAGGTCGTGTGGAAACTATTCCAAGTGACACAACACACAGGCAGAGACAACAGGACAGGAGGCCCTAAGCATCCAGTGAGCAGTAGAAAAGAAATGCTAATGGGGTTCAGCTGGGTGCAGGGCTGATTTGCTGTAAGTCCCGGATCTCAAGGGCGGTTGGGACTGGCCCAGCTGGATAAACAGGTATCTTGCCCCTCCTTCACAGCACCCCATACATTCCTCTAGGATGACCTCCCCGATACAGGAGAACTGTTTTTCATTCAAAGGTATCTGAGTAACCAACTTCTCTCCCAAATCTCAAGATCCGTTTTTTGTTGTTGTTGTTGTTCAGAGGATTAGAAGAAATATTAGGATGTTTGTGTCGCAAAGGCACCCAACAGAAAAAAATGAGGGGGGGAAACAAAAACAAACACGAGGAGTGCATGTATAATACACACACACACACCTCACAGAGGTGCTACAAAAAGCTGAGAACACATAATTAAAAAATAATTGAATTTTTCACAAACATTTTAAAGCACGGTTATATGTATTTATATATAAACCTCCTACTGCCATTGAGTAGATTCTGACTCCCCCGCACCCCTGGAGGACAGAGAAGAACAGCTCCTTTGGTTTCTGAGACTGTAAATCTTTGTGGAAGAAGACAGCTGCACCTTTCTCTCGTGGAGTGGCTGGTGAGTTTGAACCACTGACTTTGTAGGTAGCAGCCCAATGCTTAACCAACAGGGTCACCAGGTGCTCTCTATATGTATGTATGAATAAGTGCATGCATGTCTGTATATTAAGGTGACCAGATTTAAAGCGGGACACCATTGATGGGGGGTGGGGGGTTCTGTATGGACCAAATAGACCGTTCCCTAGCTTGTCATACATTCTTTCCAAAAATTGGGACTTTTTAAAAATGCCCCAAAGTGGGACGTCTGGTCACCTTACTGTATATACTGTACATACCCAGACACAGATATTTATGTAAAAATGCACACAGGTGTATCCATATATGCACAAGCCTACACTCAAACACAGCAACATTAAACTAGTTATGTTGTAACGTAAGCAGGAAAGGTTTTCAGGGCAATTGTTCAGCAGACACACGGGTATACATGAAAGGGAGTTGATAACAGGCCTGAAACATGGAAACAATGAAAACAACTTAACCCATTGCCACCAAGGCAAGCCGGACTCGGAGAGATCCTAAATAGGGTTTCTGAGGCTGTACATCTACATGAGAGCAGAGCGCTTCATCTTTCTCCCGAGGAGCAGCTGGTGGATTTGAACATGGAAAGTACTCATGAGATGGTCAAAGAATGGGGGCAGTGAGATGATTAGTCAGATGATCTAACCAACGAGACTCTGAAGTCCGGGCCAAGCTGGGCCAGTGGTGAGCAGGAGGGCTGTGAGAGTACCGCTGAAGCTGGTTACCTCGAAGTCACGCCCTGCCTCTTTCTACGTAAAGCCGAGCGAACCAAAAGAAGTCCACATATTCAGCTTCGCTCTTTCTGGCCTAGAGGCCCGTGTAGAAGCCGTTGTTTAGAGAACAGTGGTGTAACAGCTGGAAGTGGGAAAACTACAGGGAATGAAAATGCCATCCTCATGCTAATATTAAAGTCCTACTCCTTCTCCAGCATCCAAGAAGGCTACCTTCACGCTGTTTTGTTTTTGTTTGTTGTTGTTGTTGTTTACTGTTGTAAAATAAATACGGAATCTAACACACCATTTCCGATCAAGTTTTTACATGTAAAGCCCACTGACAACAATTACACAGACCATGCTGTAGAGCCACCACCACACACAGGAGGGAACACGGGGGAAAGACTGCTTTTCTCACTACCTTCTCTCCGCTTTCCACCCCGGGCCTGCTAAGTATGATCAGACCCTTTTCACGGGTCCATTTAAACATAAGGCTTTGGAAAGGCCAAAAAGCTAAGCTAGAGAGATTAATGGTAAAATACATTTAATAGGCTATTGGCCCCTCCCCTTGGTTCTCCAAACCTCGTTCTGTTCCCCCTAATTTTGATTCCCAGACCACGGTTTATTTCTGGAACACTGCACTTAGAAAGGTCTAATCTTTCGCTCTGGGAAAATCTGGTGATTTATGTTCCGGTACTACAGAGGGCCCCAGGACCAGCTTGGTGACCACACCCTTGCTAAGTTCAGGAACTGCTTAGCTGGAGATAGAGGTACTAGTGCGGAAGGGAACCCACTGTCCCTGCTTTTGTCTATGCTTTTGATAACAAAGCACATTTTAACCCTAGATATTTTCATAATTGTCAAGAGTCTCAGCTAAAACACAAACGCCTGGGGGCAGAGTGTGTCTCAAGATACAGACTAGACTTACACTCTTATTTTTATGAAAGAGATTGATACAGAGTGGAAGATTTCCACAAAGGTCAAAGTAAGTTTTGTACATTTGAGATTTACTCACGTGGGCCCAGAAGGAGGATAGGTTAATTTTCTGCAGTCTTCTGTATACTATTTAAAAACAAAGAAAATCAAAAGTTAAGCACATAACACATGCTTGCTATCTAACGAGATAATTTCTACAATAAGTTGGTTCGATTGATCCTTGATTATGCCTTATTACTAAGGTGACCAGATATAAAGCGGGACACCAATGACCGGGGGTGGTGGTGGGGGTTTCTTGATTAAAAATTTGGTCTATATGGATCAAATAGACTGTTCCCTACCTTGTCCTGCATTCTTTCCAAAAATCGGGACTTTTTTAAAACGCCAAAAAGTGGGACTGTCCCGCCAAAAGCGGGACGTCTGGTCACGTTACTTTTTACACTACTTCCCTAACTCTTACCATAAGAGTCTTGTCCTACCACAAAAGCTTCTAAAAACCCCACACTGTAATTTTACTCTTGGTTCAGTTTGCACAGTAGGCAAAACCCAAACCACTCAAACCCTGACTGCTGATTCTGACGCATGGTAACCCCCAGGGCCAGGTGGCACATGGCTCTTCTACTGCAACTCTATCGAGCAAAAATGAGACATGGAAAAACAGATGGGAAATGTTTAAGTGGGGTTGGTTTATCACAAAAGGAAATTACTTGATAGAATGTGATATTATTGGGACATTATTTAAATCTATGAGTCAACTCTATATCGCAATCTGCTCTGGAATTTACATCCCCAACCAGATTTTCAGGGCACACTGAACAGGGCTGTTACCATCCTCCGTTCAGCTCCTGCCACTCCTAATAGAGCCACACAAATCAGCTAATGTTCTGGCATGTGGGGCACAGACAGTATTGTTCTCTCTGCCTTCCTTGCCCGGCTGAACTTTCGGTTATTCTCTAAGAGCCAATTCAAATGGTACTTTTGTGTGTGAAATCTTTGCCGACCTTCTGTATAAAGAGCCGTCTCCTCCTCTACACTGACACAGCCTGGCGCACATCTCTACGACCCTGTTTACACCACCGGATTATAATTCGCCGTTGGCATCTCTTTGTTCTCTTTGAGATAAAGATCAGTACCCATAATAGAGACTTCTGCCCAAGACAATGAGTAAATGCGATCAGCTCGGTAGAGTTGTTTGAGCTTAGTGGGAAAACCAAATTTGTTCCTGGAACAGGAAATTATCAAATAAAGCGACATGGGCTGGATGATTCTTTTCTTATGAGTTCAAGATGGCCGGCATGCGTATCTCCCTTGCACTGGACAGCCAACCCCACAGAAGTCAAACAGATTTTTAAAAAGAAAGTACAAAAGCACACGAGGTGGGGTAGGGAGGAACGGGTATGATTAAAACTGTCGGGTGAGCTCAGAAACAGACCTGCTGCGAATGGGTGTGAGCATTGATAGCTTACATATTATTTTACCTTTTCAATCAACTGGAAAGTGAAAATAAAGTCGCTTGACTTTACTTGTGATTTAAACATAAATGTCATGAAAATGACTTTACCACAGTATAAGTTTCTCATATAAGCTCTGTTTTGCCTTATAATTTAGGTTGTCATTAAGAAACATTATTTATGACTCCTGGGTGTTAACCATGCACCCAAAGCAGGGCTCAAACCCACAACTCTGAAATCATGCTCTACTAACTTGAAGGTAAACAAGCGGCCATCTAGCTCCGAAGCAACAAAGCCCACATGGAAGAAGCACACCAGCCTGTGTGATCATGAGGTGTCGAAGGGATCAGGTATCAGGCATCAAAGAACAAAAAAATCATATCATTGTGAATGAGGGGGAGTGCCGAGTGGGGACCCAAAGCCCACCTGTAAACAACTGGATTGATTGATTGATTCATTCATTTATTTGTACATCCTCTTACAGAAGGGTCGCGGGGAGGAGATGGGCCAGTCAGGATGCAGTGTAGCAACGATGAAACATTCAACTTTCCTCTAGTTCTTAAAATTCCCCCCCCCATCCCCCGCAACCCTGCACTATCAAGAGCACAATTCTACCTTACAAATCCGGCTAGACCAGAGCATGTACACTGGTACAGATAGGAACTGGAAACACAGGGAATCCAGGACAGATGACCCCCTCAGGACCAGTGGTGAGAGTGGTGACACCAGGAGGGTGAAGGGAAGGGAAGGGAGAAGGGGGGAACGGATTACAAAGCTCTACATATAACCCCCTCCCTGGGGGACGGACAGCGGAGAAGTGGGTAAGAGGGGACACGTTGGACGGTGTAAGATATGACAAAATAATAATAATTTATAAATTATCAAGTGTTCATGGGGGGTGGGGGAGCAGGGAGGGAGGGGCAAAATGAGCGGATACCAGGGGCTTAAGTAGAAAGCAAATGTTTTGAGAATGATGAGGGCAACAAATGTACAGTAGTGCTTGACACAATGGATGTATGTGTGGATTGTGATGAATTGTACGAGCCCCCAAATAAAATGATTAAAAAAAAAAAAAGAAACAGTGTTACTTGTACACAAGAGCTAATTTTCCAAGCCACTTCAAAGCCCAGTACTGGTGGCAGTACTTCCCATTCATAAAAATTTCAGTCTTGGTCCTAAGCTAAAACAGCAGCCAGACTTGAACAGTGCTAAATGATGTAGCAATTGTATGTTGGAAAGTGAATATATGCAGCACCTGTGTTGTACGGAGGTTTTCTAGGAGTTGGGAACAGCTCAAGGACCCCTACCAGCAGCAACAAGAAGCTCTCTGGGAGGCGATTATACTTAGCACCCATTTCTTACAGAAGTTACTAAGGTTAACTTCATGAGAACAAATCAAGTTCATGGTTGACATTACTGTTTCAATAACGCATGCTAGACACAAATATTTTCCATAGAGTACCCATCAGTTAATAACGCACTTAAAAATCGTCCATTCTAAACATCTTGCATTTTCACAATTTTGTAAATCTGTCTGACTAAACCTTTTTTACGGCTCCAACAAAATTTTACCACTGTCACCTGTCATACTTCGTAGCAGATTCCACATCAGATTGCACTGCGTGTTGTGTTCTAAGTCATTTGGAAACATCATTGCCTGGATTGCTTCATGCAGGCTAGTTCTTCACATTGATCCTTAATGTCAGTACTGCAAATCCAAGAGCCAAGGAAGCCCACTCCAAAGACTTGTCCGCGTCTGTTCACTGATGCTGCTGTTCCTGAAGGCCTGAGCCCGTCTCCTCAGCTAAGGCTCTGGCTTGCTTTCCTGGGACACATTTTTTTCTACTGCTGCAATCAAACACAATTTTCTTAACTCACTATTGATAAATGGCTCTCCTTGCTTTGCTAACCGATGAGTTATTTACTTTGATTACACCCTCATGTCCCTTTTTCAAATTTACAAATAAATTCTGCTCTGATGAAACACTCAGATTTTCCTGTAAGCTGGAACAATTGGGATGAACGTTTAATCTGGTGATGACAACAGGTACTGTACTCTTGGAGCACAACGTACAATGTCATAAGGAGCCCTGGTGGCAGAGTGGTTCCGTGTTGTGAACTTCAAAGTCAACAGCTGGGAGCCACCAACTGCTGGGCTTCCTCCTTCCAGGAGAGCTATACTCTGCTGCAGTACCGAGCGAGGGCAAGCAACCCACACGCAGCTTTAAGGTTAATAAGCCTTCATTAGCCAGTGGTCAACGGCCCCTAGAGCCTAATTCTCCTACAGCCCTGAGTGCTTACAGAGGGGAATTTTATATTGTGGAATAAACAAGGCATGAGGGCAGCTGGCGTCACGCTATCCGGAAAAATAGGAACTTATAAAAATAAAATGTGGGTTTACAAGCAACATCAGCAATTTCAAAAACAAAACAGCAGTTACAGAAGTTACGAAAGGAATGACAGGAGTTGCGAAGTGGCCACACACAGGCTGAATAAGAGCATGTGACATTGTTAAACTGGCTACATCTAACTTCACTACTGCATTATGGCGACACTGAGGTTAATTGTGGTGGGGTACTACATTCCCCACTCCTGTTTGTCACTTCTAAAATCTTTTAGCAAGCTTACTTTGTTTCCAAACAACAACAAACAAAAGCAAAAGAACAGTTTCTACTTGGCTCCCTGGTTTATAAGACTGTTTAACAATAGCTATACAGAGTCGATTCATGATTTTACAAATTTTAAAATGTAGTTGCACGCACACACGGTCAAAGCAAAAGCAGTAATATAACTATAAAAAGGGATCCAGCTATTCCTTTTAGTAGAGAAGTTAGCCACAGGTTCCAATTATAAAGTGATTGATACCAAGACTGATTAGCTTTGATGGTTTTTCTGTCTTTCTATTTCCTTTGACACTTTGTAATGTATCAGGGATAATGCCAGATTTGTTTGTATAAAGACAACTTTCTTTAAGGGCTGCACACAAGCCACCTTGGGACAAAGGCGAGTGTATTTAGACCCTGGAGATTTTTTACTATCACTTCAGTCAGGGAGTCTAGCTGTTGATTTGGTCATTTTGCAGTAAGATGCGGCCTGTTTCTACCTGCATTTCTGGTGTTAGCAAGCAGGTGCACACCAGCGTTACTTTTGACCAAGGCTGCATGCGGACAGGCTGCATTTAACTCAAGACGAAAAGGACCATGAGAGGGGCTGCCCGTTGGAGGCGGGTGCTGCGTGTGCCCAAAGCATTTAGCGTTGACCTTTTCAGAAGTGTGAGGCTGTTTGACCTTTTCACACATATATTTGGGGTAACCAGACACGCGATGCTGTAGACCATTATTATAGGCAAACCAAGTTTGGGGGTAGGTGGGGAGGCGGTAAGATAAAATACATTGCTACTTCAAGTTACATTGGGAAGGCAAGTTTTATGTTAGGCCAGGGTTTTCCTGCTACAAGTTTAAAGAGGCAGGTGGCATTCCCACACGTGTTTCCTGAGGTTAATTTGGGGCTTGGCACATTACTACGATGGGTAGAGCTTGTTTTGATGGGTTGCTGCGATCCTATTTCTACACAGTAAGGGGGCTTGACTTGCAAACAGCCAGCTTTTTCCCGGCTGGCTTGGGACAGGAAATGTTCAGGTCGGAGTGCAGCCTACCAGGGCCCAGGCGACATCAC